GCAAATAGAAAAAATTTGGTGGGAAGGTAACAGTGTACCATGTGCCTTTGGCATTTAGTCATGCCGGCCACGGAGACGTCTTCGGACAGCACTGGCTCTTCGGCTTTGAAACGGAGATGAGCACTGCCCCCTAGAGTCAGGAACAACTAGTACATATCTACGGGGGGAACCTTTACCTAAATGTGTGTAAGATTATACACTTCTTTAAAAAATTACATGAGTAATTAATCTTGCTCAAGTCCTAAAACATTAACCTATCAGGCTTTGTTGCTGTGATTCTGGAAAGGTGGAAAGCTCATGCTCTTCTTCGCTGCTCCTTTTACAATAGTATAGGATCTCCTTTCATGGGCAGAGGGTTGGACTAGAAGACCTCCAAGATCCCTTCCAACTCTATTATTCTATGTCTTATGAAGACTGCTTGAGCCAACCAACAAAGTTTGGTTTCTGGTCTTTTGAACAGCTGGTGAGGAGGAATCCATTAGTTTCAGGATTCAAAGGGACATTTGTGCTGTGGGTAGAGGGTGTGGTCACTGGGGCTCACTGAGGCCCCCTCCCCATTTATCTCTGGAAGTTTTGGGTGCTCCATCACCAGAGATTTTGGACAGCAATTGGTCTGACATGGTATAGAGTCTCCTGCTTGAGGAGAGGGTTGGACTAGAAGACCTCCAAGGTCCCTTCCAACCCTATTCTATGTTCTATGAATCAGATTTATTCTCAATCTGATCAGCAGATCTCATCAGGCTATATTGAGTTGAGTTGCCTTCTCTTACAGTGCTTGTGGTTAGGTTTTGTGCTTGTATTTTACATAATTTTATATTTTATTTCTTTTGGGGGGGTAATTGTATATATCACACTTTAGATAAATTTTAGATAATGTTACATTTTTGTAATTTTAGATGTTATCCCATTTTATATAATTTTAGACACTTCCTTAGGTACCAATTGTTCCTTGTGGCCTTCACTTACAGATTCTATTCAGGCTGTTGTATAGATGCATTTTAATTTTGTTTTAAATTTTATTTACAGCCTCTTAAAATGAATTAATATGGAGCACTCCGGATCAGATTACATGCACTAGATGAAGTAAGACTGTGATAGACTGTCTGGCTGACTCCTAAAAGATAAATAGGAGATGATTTTAAGCCTGGTGCTGGTTTCCATGCCCATTAATTCCACAATTAATTTCATTCTAGGTTTAAGCAGTGGAGCTGCCCCTGAGATTTTATGCACAGGTAGTGGCGTGGAAAAAATCCTCCCTTTCTTACTGTGCCCCAGTCCTGAATGCTTTACTTTCTCTTCTCCAACCTAGCTTGCATGTGTTCCAATTAAGAACCACGAATGCAATATTCTCTAATCCTATAAGCCTCCTATTACATAACCCGAGTCTTTGTATGAAATCTAATAGCCTTGGCCCAGGCTTGACATTTTTGGAATCTCTAGTTATCTACCCTTTTCTAAGGATCTGTTAAAGAAAGAAAAAGTTGCACTGGTCTGCAGCTTCTCACCAAGGGAACTGGCAAAATGAATTGGGCAATGGCTGTTGTGATGTCTCAATTAGTACCTTGGCTCTAAACAGATACTAAATTGATGCTTGTAACTATAGTTTACTCGATTTGGAGGCAGCCTGGAACAATTACAGGGTTTGCTGCTCAAGAGCTAAATTGTACAAATATCTCTTTTACAAAGCACTAATCATTATATTCAATGGCTCAGTGGCTAAAATGCTGAGTTTGTCGATCGAAAGCATGTAAAAAATGCAAGTAGAAAAATAGGGGCCACCTTTGGTGGGAAGGTAACAGTGTTCCGTGCACCTTTGGCATTGAGTCATGCGGCCACATGACCACGGAGACGTCTTCGGACAGCGCTGGCTCTTCGGCTTTGAAACAGAGATGAGCACTGCCCCCTAGAGTCGGGAACGACTAGCACATATGTGCAAGGAGAAATTTTACCTTTAATCATTATACAGTATATGACAACTGCAGGGAGATTATTATATACTCAGTGCTGGAAAGACCCAACACTACAGAGGAATGTTTAGTGAAGACGATGGGATTTGCAGAGATAGCTACATTGTCTTGCTTGATTAGAGAAAAGACAACACAGGTAATTCTTGACTTACAGCCATTCATTTAATGACCATTCAAAGTTACAATGGCACTGAAGAGAGCCACTTCAAGAGCCTTGGTAGTACAGTGGTCTAAGGCACCCTCTTATTAAGCTGGTTATTAAGACCAGCTGTCTGGTTCGAATCTCTCCAAGGCTCAAGGTTGACTCAGCCTTCCATCCTTTCTAAGGTAGGTAAATTGAGGACCCAGTTTGTGGGGGCAATAAGCTGACTTTGTATAAATATACAAAAGGATGAAGGCTATTGCTTAGTGCATTGTAAGCCGCCCTGAGTCTCCGGAGAAGGGCGGCATATAAATCAAATTAAAAATAAATAAATAAATAAATAAATTTTTCACATTTATGATTGTTGTTGCACCTTTTTTTAAAAAAAATTGATTTATATGCCGCCCTTCTCCGAAGACTCAGGGCGGCTTACAATGTGCTCAGCAATAGCCTTCATCCTTTTGTATATTTATACAAAGTCAGCTTATTGCCCCCACAAACTGGGTCCTCATTTCACCTACCTTAGAAAGGATGGAAGGCTGAGTCAACCTTGAGCCTTGGCAAGATTCGAACCTGCAGTATTTGATCATGGTCACTTGATCAAAATTCGGATGCTTGGCAAGTGATTCATATTTATGACGGCCACAGCGTCCTGGGGTCATGTGACCTTTGGATAAGCAACGTCGGTGGAGATGCCAGATTCACTTAACAACCGTGTTACTGACTTAATAACTGCAGTGATTTGCTTAACAACTGTGGCAAGAAAGGTTACAAAATGGGGCAAAATTCACTTAACAATTGTCTCACTTAACAACAGAAATTTCAGACTCAATCGTGGCCATAAGTCGAGGGCTGCCTGTATCGGCTATTCTCCTTTATGGGTTTACTCACTTTAAAATGCATCCTGGCTAGACTCCAGCTATACTTATTGGTGAAAACTTTGCATTATTCTGATTTCTATCATATTTTATTGCTGAGGTATTAAGCAGGGGTCTGAACTCCTAACTAGAGGCCAAGGATCCTGTTCTATAGCTATATTGGTTCCAAAAGGAAAGAAAAATGCTGGGATTTCCCTTCCAGAAGGTCAAAAGCTGATTTTGATGACTGCATGTTTTAACCTTCTGTTTCAGTCACTTAGCAGGACCCACAGGAGCCTCTTCCGTAAATAAAATGCTTGTGTGACAGGCAACACCTGGTTTTTTGCCAACTGGCCCTATTGCACTTCCTCCCCTGCTCAGATTTCATTCATTCACAAGTGAGTAGGATGACCTTTTTGGACAAGCAAAGCAGAAGAAAGTTAGAAGTAGGATTTGAAGGTGGTATTTTATAGGACGCGTTTCCTTATTTTCAAAACGAATTTTGTGCTCAGGCTTAAGTTTAGGCACAGTTGATTTACAGTTGTTCTGCTGTGAGATTATCTAATATTTTGGAAACCCAGTCAGCCTTTGGAGAGAGGTGTTGGTAGCTGAAGAAAGATAGAGCTGGAGTCCCAGATCCAAAATCTAAATTAGATTAATATATTATGCCTTGCTACAACAATTAAAAACTGCAAGATATTCGCATTAGGTTAAATATGTGGCTCTCCTTGTAATGCACCAGCTAGAAAGGAATAAAATCCACACAACCTGACTCCCAATATAACTTATGTGCCCAAACTTACTTATGTGCATGAGCTGTGGTGGCTCAGTAGTTAGAATGCAGTGTTGTAGGCTGACCCTGCCCACTGTCAGGGGTTCGATCTTGATCAGCTGAAGGTTGACTCAGCCTTCCATCCTTCCGAGGTCGGTAAAATGAGGACCCAGATTGTTGGGGACAATAGGCTGACTCCGTAAACCCCTTAGAGAGGGCTGTAAAACACTATGAAGCAGTATATAAGTCTAAGTGCTATTACTATTTCCAATATTTTGCCATTTGATAATTGATTACTTTGGATTTTAATGTTTTGAGATTCGTGGGTCTAGGGTCGTATTTTTCTACATCTCTTTCTGCAAAACCACTAGAGGGGCTCGGGAGATGCTGTGTGATTTATATTGGTCCAGTTTCAATAAATGTTATTATATTGTATTGACTCATTTTGGACAAGTGGAAGTCAAGAGCTCTGGCTTTTCTGGAAAAATGGAACACTGGAAAAGCTAAAGTGTACCTATAGATGAAAATATAATAAAGAAAATACTAGAGTAGAGGTTTTCAAACTTGGCAATTTTAAGACTTGTCTACAACTCCAAGAATTCTCCAGCCAGCAGAGCAGAGCTGGCTGGAGAATTCTGGGAGTTGAAGTCCACAAGTCTTAAAGCTGCCAAGTTTGAGGACCCCTGTACTAGACTGTGCCAAAATGTTAATTTTAATGGTTAATGATGAGAATTAAGGACAAAGAGGAATCAGACTATTATTTAACATGGGACTTATTCTATAGATGGTTAGAAAATGTGTGTGTGTGTATAAGCATTATATATTATTACTATTATTATTATTGGATTGTATTTGATTACAGATTAAATTGTATAGAATGATCAGGAGTGAAGATCATATTGTATATACAATGAAAATAATGGCTATAATTAAGGTGTATAATATGTGTATTCAAAAGAGATTTGATACGGACAGTACACTGTCGTTGCAGAAATGGGAATGTGATGCATAACAACAGAAAATGTGCAATAAAAATAATATATGTATAAAAAAAGAGCTCTGGCTTTTCCAGTGAGAAGAGGCTTATTTTTTGCTTCGTCACAAGCTGAGATTTGGTGTCCAGTGTAAGATGAGCCAGATTTTGCAACTGAATGTAACTTGTCCAAATGGCCATCGAATGAATGTTTTCGGAGGAAGTTGAGTTAGGGTTACAGGTGCCAAATTGTTAACTTTTGTTCTTGCTTCTTTTTTTTTTTTTACAGGGTGGAAAGAAATTTTATCATGGAATCTGTGGGGGTCGCGATTGTACAGCCGGCTGCAAGTGCTTCCCCGAGAAAGGGGCTCGGGTAAGATGAGATGCGATAAAATAACCTTTATTGTCACTTTTTCTGTGAACACACTAGCACACATTAAAAAATGAAATTCTGATGCCCACTCTTAAAATAAAATAAATATATAACCATACACATACATGAACACATATATACATAGGTTATATTTGCATATATACATACATACATAATTGTTTTCTTTCCTTTTCGTAGACTTTATGTGTATTTCTCTTTAGCCAGGTTCTTCCTACGTAAACCAAGATTTTTATGCAGCCCTAGTTCAGTGAAATCACAATCCACTAGTTCCTAGGCTTTTTTTTTTACCTTTTTTTTTCTGGCAGCCAGCAAACATTCTGCTGCCCATTGGGAGACTAAGGAGACTCCCTAAGCTAAAAAAAGCCTAGAAACTAGTGGATTGTGATTTCACTGAATTCGGGCTGCATAAAAATCTTGGTTTACGTAGGAAGAACCTGGTTAAAGAGAAATATACATACATACGTATATATAAGCTGTATATATACACACACACACATAATTAATCACAGTCCATTTTGAATACATAACAGAAAAAAGACAATTACTGTGGATCACTTTTATGCCATATCCTGGATAGAAGGAAGTGAAGTTCCAATAATCTTAAAAGGGTACATGGCTCCTTTTTAGTTTGAAGAGGAACAGCCTTCACTATCATTTTGGCCGTGAAGAAAACAAGCACACTCTAAGTATTTTGCCTGGAGCCTTAAGGCAAGAGCTGTGAAGAACAGCTGAAGGAGAAAAGCTGGATCCAGCCAACTCTTTAGACTCTCCCATGGATGGCCTGCAGTCCATCCACAGAGATTTCACCGAAGGCAGCCAGTGAACAAGAGAAAAGAATAACGTTGATTAATTTGCATGTACATAGGAAGTAGTGCATGATTTATAAGTCTCTGGGAAATCAACTCTGATGCAGGTCACAACTCTTCCTGTTACTGAGATGATCCCTCCCTCCTCTGTTGGCAGCACTTACAGCTCGTTGCTACTTGGTGGGTGGGCTGAAACTTTCGGTGTAAGCAATGAGATGTTCTAATGGACCATGTTGGCCTGTTTCAGAGATAAGGGGGGAAATGTAGTTTTCTGGTATGTAGAGCGGCTATGATGAGCCTCAGACTTCTAGCTCTGAGAGATACACAAACAGGACACAACTGCCCTCACACCTCACTTTAATTCTCTCTGACAACTGAAATTGAGGGGTAAGATTCCCTATCCAGTCGTGTCTGGCTCTAGGGTGAAGTGCTTTTCTCCATTTCTTGGCCAAGGTTGTCCCAAGACATTTTCTGGGGTCATGTGGCCAGCATGGCTATACGCTGAGGCACATGGAATCCTGTTAACTTCCCACCGAAGTGGTACTTGTTTATCTACTCGCATTTGCATGCTTTTGAACTGATAGGTGGGCAGGAACTAGGGCAAGGAATGGGAGCTTACCCCGTTGTGTGGTGCTCAGGTCTCAAACCTGGGCTGTCAGCTTTTCAGCGGACAAGCTCTTTAACCATTGAGCCATTGCGGCCCGAATTGTACCATACGATTATTCCATGAAGTTGATGAACCTTTTTGCAAAAACCTCCCAAATTGGTGGACATTCCTATCTGATATGGTTGCAAATAACTTTATTGACTTACAGGCAGATTTCAAAATCTGCCCCCCCCCCTTTTTTTTTTTTTGTAATCTCTTCTGAATGTTCCTTTCTTTAGCAATGTGCTGTGATCCTAGATTCTAACTTTCTGGGAAGCGGAGAGAAAAAGTTCCTATAAAATTTTCCCAAAAGCAAAATTGGTGTCATTTTGCCTGGGTTTTCCACCTGCTAGATTTCAAGTATAAATGACTGTTTTCTAAGTTTGGCTGTTGTACTGTTGGGTTAAAAACAAAAATTCCTGATTTTTTCCCCACAGCATAAAAAAGGGTGGATCCCAACATTGGTGGTCTCTTTATTACAATAATCTAGATTACTTTTAACCTGTTCTTCCTGGTGAAAATGGATCCTTTTTATATTGATATTGTTTATATTTATATTGTGTCCTGATTGCTTATTTGTACCCTATGACTATCATTAAGTGTTGTACATTATGATTCTTGACGAATGTATCTTTTCTTTTATGTACACTGAGAGCTTATGCACCAAGACAAATTCCTTGTGTGTCCAATCACACTGGCCAATAAAGAATTCTATTCTATTCTATTCTATTCTATTCTATTCTATTCTATTCTATTCTATTCTATTCTATTCTATTCTATTCTATTCTATTTTTAGCTTGGAGTTGCCACCTGTTGGAGTGAGTTTGAATTTGCTATTGTTTTTGACCACATTTTTCCATTTTTCAACTCTGAATCTCATTAAATATCCTAGTATCTGAGGTATTCCTTATAGGTATCTCAGAAGAAAAAAATGTTATTATCCTACCAACTCTTTCCAAACATCATGCATCCTGTGTTAAAGTGGATTATCCTACCAACGTCATTCTTTCTGCAGCTCATAAACCTGTGACCGGATTCACATATTGCTGTTGTGGGATTATGGCTTGCTGTGTTGTATGAATCCAGGTAGCAGGATTTTACAACCACAACTTCCACCTTAGTGTGTCATGTAAAGCCAGACAAATGTGATCAATTTACGCCAACTGCAAGATAATCCAATGATATTTTTGTGTTTTGCGTATGTGTGTCAAACCTTGATACACGTACACACATCCCTGAAAGCTTTTTGGAGTAACCAATTAGGCCAGTTGAAGTTACACAATAGTAAACTCATGCTTTTCTTAGAACTGTTTATCTGGAAGAATCATTCAGATGTATGTAACCTGATGAAGAGTTCTAGGAAATGCAGCAATTTTCAAGATTGCACAACTTGGGTTGGCTGTATAAAGACATTTATCACATTAGATTCTTTTTCTCATTTCCAAGAAGCTTATTTTCTATGATTCCATATAGATATCGTAACATGTACTATCTCTGCATCCAAAACCCGTTTCGTGTTTCTTTCCAGACACATCTGGATCATCAGCTTTCTTCTCTTGATGTAACACAAAGAGAGGCCCAATCAGAGAAGAGGCCAGGAGGTCCTCAGGTTCAATTATGGTGGGATCCATAGAAGAGAATATTTGTAGTCCAGGATTGAACAGTGGGGTGATGTTACCTAGTTGGTAATGAAATGTCTGAAAGAAAACCATCAAGCCTAGAGAGCACCAAGGACCCCACAAATATGGTGGAATTTGAGGTGGGCCAGGAACGTCCCCAAAATATCTTCCGAATGGGTAGAGAAATCCTTGCTCTCCTGGGAATTCCCATGCAGGATGACAAAGTGGTCCAGTTTTGTTTTTGCTATCAGCCTTTGGTGCAGTGGTGAAATCCAATTTTTTTTACTACCGATTCTGTGGGCGTGGCTTGGTGGGCATGGCTTGGTGGGTGTAGCAAGAGAAGGATATGCAGAATCCATATTCCCTCCCAACTCTTGGGGGAAGGATATTGCAAAATCTCCATTCCCAACCCACACTGGGGCCAGTCAGAGGTGGTATTTGCCAGTTCTCCGAACTGCTCAAAATTTTTGCTACCGATTCTCCAGAACCTGTCAGAACCTGCTGGATTTTCACCCCTGCTTTGGTGCTATGCTATGACTTAGGGAGGGAAGATTCATCATTTTTATAACATCTTTCTTCTCCCATCCCAATGGTTATACAGCTGGAGATGTCCTCCCACTGCCAGAGGTCACCATCCTTGAGAGCAGGGAGAACATTCTTTCCACCACCAATAAATAGAGGAGGATAGGTGTTGGTTGTACATTTTGTGCCGAAGGAAGTTGCAAAAAGTCTCCATGGTCCCTGGGTGTGGAAGAGCCTGAAGAGGAGAAACAGTGGTCAGTTAATGCTGAGCTTTGATGTAATTTCAAACTCTCCAACTGCCGCATCTGATTTTCCACTCATTTATCAATCATCCTTTTGACCTACAACTTTATGCAGCCTCAGTCCTTGGATTCTCCTCCACCTGACATTCTTGAGTAGGTTCCCATTAAAAAAAAAGAAAAGAAAAGAAAAGAAAAGAGGGAGACATCTGGAAGACTGTATTTTTTTAATTATTTATTTTTATTTCTTTTAAAATAATAACAGAAAACAAATAAACAAAAGGTTAACATTCCCCAACTGTTTCAAAACATTAAAAGATCAGGGTAACACTATGCAGACACAGCTGGTGATTTGATTTGATTTGATTTGATTTGATTTGATTACATTTCTATACTGCCCTTCTCCCGAAGGACTCAGGGCGGTGTACAGCCATATTAAAACAAACCCATCATAAAAATTAAAAAACGTTAAAATAAATTAAAGCAATTTGGCCGTTATTAAAACCCTTAGCTAAAACCGCTTTAAAACCAATTAAAACCCATTAAAATTAATTTATTCAGTCAGGCCGGCTTGATTGAACAATAGAGTCTTCAGAGCACGATGGAAGGCGCGGAGGTCGGGAATCCTTCTTATATCCAGGGGCAGCTCATTCCATAGGGCAGGAGCTGACTTTGTATAAAATATACAAAAGAATGAAGGCTATTGCTTAACGCATTGTAAGCTGCCCTGAGTCTCCGGAGAAGGGCGGCATATAAATCAAATTAAAAAAAAAAAAGGAGCCCCCACAAAGAAGGCTCTCCCCCTGGGGGTCGCCAGCCGACATTGCTTGGCCGATGGCACCCTGAGGAGGCCCTCTCTGTGAGAGCGTATTGGACTGTGGGAGGCATTCGGTGGTAGAAGGAGGTCCAGTAGGTATCCCGGTCCTAAGCCATGGAGCGCTTTGAAGATGGTGACAAGCACCTTGAAACGCACCTGGAAGACCACTGGGAGCCAGTGCAGCTCGCGCAAAAGAGGTGTTACCCGGGAGCAATGAGTCGCTCCCATAACCACTCGCGCATTCTGGACCAGTTGGAGCCTCCGGGTGCTCCTCAAGGGGAGCCCCCATGTAGAGAGCATTACAGTAGTCCAGACGGGAAGTGACAAGGG